AATATAAGGGCATAAGTGTCCAAGAAAATAGTGTAAATCAAGAAAAAAGACTTTATGGAATAAAACTATACATACATGGGACGAAATGGGTTAAAAAATTCCTTCATGGACTTCTTGGGTTAAAACACTTCTAAATTGGATTTATCAATAAAAATCCCTTCTGTTTTTTTTAGAGGTTTATATAATTATCATAAATTCTAATTATGCAATTGAATATATAAATAAAAAATTAAAAAAATAAATAAATTGAATGCGGATGTATTAAAATTTTTATCAATTGATCACATTGATAGGAGTGTAAAATTGGCCCGTGGCCCGTGGGCGGCCCAAAGCCCGCCCGCTGCCCCGTCCTGGCCCGGCCCGGCCCGTTGACAATGTGAATATTCACATTGACATATTAACATTAGCATTGATAACAGTGTAAAATTGGCCCGTGACACGTGGGCAGCCCGAAGCCCGGCCCCGGACAGGGGCGGGCCTGGCCCGTTGACAACGTGAATATTCACATTAACATGTTAACATTCATATTGATAAGAGTGTAACAATAACCCGTGCCCCGTGGCTGCCCGAAACCCGCCCACGGCCCATGGGCGGCCCAAGGCGGGCCCGGCCCGGCCCGTTGACAATGTGAATATTCACATTGACATATTAACATTAACATTGATAACAGTGTAAAATTGGCCCGTGACCCGTGGGTAGCCCGAAGCCCGGCCCGTTGACAACGTGAATATTCACATTAACATGTTAACATTCATATTGATAAGAGTGTAACAATAACCCGTGCCCCGTGGCTGCCCGAAACCCGCCCACGGCCCATGGGCGGCCCAAGGCGGGCCCGGCCTGGCCTGTTGACAATGTGAATATTCACATTGACATGTTAACATTCACATTGATAAGGGTGTAAAATTGACTCGCGTCCCATGGGCGGCCCGGGGCGGCTCGGGTTTGGGTCCGGTCCTACCTCGGGACATGGGCGAGCTTCGGGCAGCAGACAAATTTTACAGTCCTATTAATGTTAATGTTAACATGTCAATGTGAATATTCACATTGTCACGGGTCGGGCCAAGCCAGCCTCGGGTTGTGGGCCAATTTTACACTCCTATCAATGTGAATGTTGACATGTCAATGTGAATATTCACATTGCTAACGAACCGGGACCGTCCCGACCCGAGGTCGGGCTTCAGGCTGCCTACGAGTCACGGACCAATTTTACACTCTTATCAATGTGAATATTAACATGTCAATGTGAATATTCACATTGTCAACAGGCCGGGCCCGGCCCGGCCCGGGCAGCGCCATGGGCCATGGGCTGGTTTCGGGCAGCCACGAGGCACGGGCTAATTTTACACTCTTATCAATGTGAATGTTAACATGTCAATGTGAATATTCACATTGTCAACAGGCCGGGTCGGGCCTGTCCTGGGCCGCCTACGGGCCGTGGGCGGGTTTCGGGCAGCCACAGGTGTGGGCCAATTTTACACTCTTATCAATGTGAATGTTAACATGTCAGTGTGAATATTCACATTGTCAACAGGCCGGACCGGGCCCGTCCCGGGCCGCCCATGGGCCGCGGGTGGGTTTCACGCCGCCACGGGACGGCGGCCAATTTTATACTCCTATTAATGTGAATGTTAACATGTCAATGTGAATATTCACATTGTCAACGGGCCGGGCCGGGCCCGCCCAGGGCAGCCCACGAGTCGCGGGTTGGTTTCGGGCCGGCCACAGGCCGCGGGCTAATTTTACACTCCTATCAATGTGAATGTTAACATGTCAATGTGAATATTCACATTATCAACGGGTCGGGCCGGGCCCGCCCAGGGCAGCCCACGAGTCGCGGGTTGGTTTCGGGCCGGCCACAGGCCGCGGGCTAATTTTACACTCCTATCAATGTGAATGTTAACATGTCAATGTGAATATTCACATTATCAACGGGTCGGGCCGGGCCCGCCCAAATTTTATACTCTTATCAATATGAATGTTAATATGTCAATGTGAATATTCACATTGTCAATGGGCCGGACCGGGCCCGCCCCGGACCGCCCTTGGGCAGCGAGCGGGTTTCGCGCTGCCACGAGACGCGGGCTAATTTTACACTCCTATTAATGTGAATGTTAATATGTTAATGTGAATATTCACATTATCAACGGGCTGGGCCCGCCCCGGCTCGCGGGCGGGTTTCGGTCCGCCCACGGGCTAATTTTACATTCCTACCGATGTGAATTTTAAAATATAAATATTCACATCATTAAATTGCTAATCGTTCAAAAAATATTTATAAAGGTATCAAAATTGAATATAAGGGTATAAGTGTCCAAGAAAATAGTGTAAATCAAGAAAATGAACTTTATGGAATAAAACTATACATACATGGGACTAAATGGGTTAAAAAATTTCTTCATAGCCTTCTTAGATTAAAACACTTTTAAATTAGACTTATCAATAAAAATCCCTTTAAAAAATGGGCCACACTGCAAATACCCATTCACCAGCCGGAAAACTCAACAGATGCCAACGGTTAAAGGCTGTTGGACCAATGAACACACGACACGCCATAAATTTAACTAGATTTCCAGCGGCCAATATTAACCGCTCACTTCCTATCATCTCTCCTCACCCCTATTTAAATCCACTCTCAAAGAGAGAGAGATAGAGAGAGCTCAAAATCATGATTCTCTCTTCCATCTCACCTCCACTGGACTCTTCCTTTCGGATACCATCCACCACTGTCAAACTTCAACATCCATCGAAACATCTTCTTCATCCTCAAATCAAATCGTCCCAACAAATTGGATTCATTAGAAAACCAAAAGGTGTTATTAGTTCTACTAACAATGTTGCTCTTCATCTGTTTACAACAATCTCTAAACGAGTTGTTCTTCAGAATTCTGTCGTTCCTTTTGCTGCTTCGATTGCGATTCTTCTCTGGTCCAATCCAGGTAAACCCATTACCCTTTTTTAATTTTTATACCTAATTCCATTTGTTTGTTTGTTGGTGATTTTGGAAAACAATCTGTTTGGTTGCTGGGAAAAGAAAAAGGTAGGAAAAAGTTCATTTAGAAAGATGAGATAGTGGTATTTTTGGAATGAAATGCTAATGGCAGCTTAAATGGTGATCATTAACCTTGATTGGTACGAAAGAAGTGCTCAAGAATGTGTGAAAAGAATACTTGAAAATATGTAGAAGTAATTGGAAATATGTAACAAAATTTCCATTGACAAATCCCATTTAGAAAGACTAGCCATATTTTTTAGAAAGGAATGCCAATAACAGCCTAACTGGGGTAATTAGTGTTGATTGGCGTGAGAAAAGTGCTCAAGAATGTGTGAGAAAGTGCTAGAAAATATATGAAACTAATTGAAAATGTATGAAAAATATCTTGGTACTAAAATTATTTTGACATTTTCCTCACCTTTAACTACAAATTATTACATGTTGTCATTAGCATGACCCTTTTTGAAATGATAGACCTGTTTGCAAATTAGATAATCAGAGTAAGTCACATCCTTTTGCATAGAAGTTAATTATGTATAAAATTAAATATTACTCGGAAAAATTATTGGGTTCAACCTTCGGTTAGCTGAAGTGGTAGTGAGCTTGGCTTTGAGCCACCACAATGCCACCTGCACTACTTCCCTTTGGACAAAGCTGTAGGCTGGTGTGCATTTCTAGTAGTGAGATGGGGATGGTGTCCATGTTTCCACTCAGGGTGAGATTGCAAGTTCTTTAGCTTAGCTGAAATTGACAATTTTAACATTTCTTTAGAAATCTTGTCTTTGTTAGTCCAAGCACAATTAGTTTTGTCGTGCAGTGTCTTGTGAGATGGTTATGGCATTCACGGCCCATCTTTCCACTCAGACTGAGAATGCAACTAAATTTAGCTTAGTTCAATTTGGCAATTTTCATGATTCTTTAGAAATTTAATCTTTGGTAGTCAGACTGTGATTAGTTTTGTCATGCCCATAATCCCGTTTCTGCTATATATACTATATACAATTAGCAATGCCTCTCTCCTCAGTTGGTCATGTCATTTGAATGAGAAGTGGAGTCCTCTCTTTCCTTAAAAGGATCACTCTCTCTCAAGCTGAGACTGCGACTTCTTTAGTGTAGTGGAGATTGACAATTTTCATGCCGTCTTTGGTAGGTTTTTTGCTTTTTTCATATGTCTTTGGTGGTCAAATTGAGATTATGATTAGTTTGGGCTCTGCTATATATGTATATACAATTAGCAATGCGTCACTTCTCAGCTTGGCATCTCATTTGCAAGATAAGTGAAGTCCTCTCCTTTACTTACTGAATCTTGAATACTCTCTCTCTCTCTCTCTCTCTCTCTGTGACAGGCTGGGAATGCCACTTATTTAGTTTAGTTGAAGTAATTTCATATTTCTTTTGAAACTTTGTCTTTGGTAGTCAAAGTTCCCTTAGGCTTTTTGTGCACATACCGCCAGTTCTGCTATTTTTACCTTTTACAATTGGCAATAATGATTCATTTCTTAGTCGGGCCATCTCATTTGCAGGATGAGGAGTGGAGTCCTTTCCTTTCCTTAATGAAACTTGACTTGAATATACTCTCTCTCTGTTTGTGAGAGGAGAGAGGAAACGGAAGCAATATTTTTGTTTCATCATGTAGCGGCCATTTGAGAATAAGAGTGGGCAACTGTCTATAAAGCACGTGTACGGATACGAGTACTAGTACTGGTACGATACGGGTACATCGATACGGTAAAATTCAAAAAAAAATAGGATACGGATACGGCTTGGTACGCTTGTAAAAAACTTGAATATACTCTCTCTCTGTTTGTGAGAGGAGAGAGGAAACGGAAGCAATATTTTTGTTTCATCATGTAGCGGCCATTTGAGAATAAGAGTGGGCAACTGTCTATAAAGCACGTGTACGGATACGAGTACTAGTACTGGTACGATACGGGTACGTCGATACGGTAAAATTCAAAAAAAAAATAGGATACGGATACGGCTTGGTACGCTTATAAAAAAATATTTATTTTTAATTTAGAGGAATGCAAAAATTAATTAAATGGTTTAATTTGTTAAGGTTCAACCTATATTTAACATTTAATGCCAAAAGTAAAAGTGTAAATCAAAATTAAATATCAATATATTAAATAACTTACAAACTATAGTTTAATTACAAAATCATGCTAAGCATAAAACAAAAAATAAAAAAGAAATCTAGTGAAATGAGTTTTATCTATGTAGTAGAAGAAAAATATTGTTTCAACTGAGATACGGTACGACTTGAATATATACTGGGTACGTCAAAAATTAAGAAGAAAAAACTTGGGTACGTATTTCGTGTACCTGGTACGTATGCAGAAGTACCATATGAGGTACGGTACGGCGATAAGTATCCGGTACGGGTACGGCAAGTTTTTCAAAGTACCCATGCTTCATAGGCAACTGTGCAACAGTGGAGTGTAATTGATCAAGTTCTTTGTTTTTTGCAGCTGAAGCTGGATTTCTTTCAGGGTTCTCCGGACTAGAATCAATGCCTGGCCCTGAGTTACCACAAATCGATTTTCTCAATCGCTTTAATGGTTCAGTCTTTACTTACCTTTATGATGAGTTTTGGTAGCAGTTTAATTTTATTTATTTTTTTATAAAAAAAAAGTACAGATTTTGCTTCTCTTGCAGATGAAAATCAGAAAAAGTATGCAGAATTTGATGCAAGATTCAAAGAATCACCCCTACTTAAGAAGCTACTAGAGCAGTCCAAACTGAACAAAGAGAAGTACTTATCTTGGCTGAGTTTTAGACTATCTTTAAAAAAAAAAAAAAAAAAAAACCCAGAAAAACAATCGAAAGCAATCTTTTGTTTTTGTATCACTCTATGATATGAGGTCACTGTAACTTACATGTTTTCATATATATACATATATATTCACAAGAAAAACAAATATGATACAACACCCTAAATGGTTGTTTGTTTCAAATTGTTATGAAAATTTTCAGGAACAAGCAAGAAATTCTTGACAAGTACTGCATTCGAGGGGCGGAGTGGGGCGTAGGAGATTGTTCGGCAGAGGGAATGACACCAGATGAGAGAGAGAAATTCATTTCCATGTTGAAAGAGAAGGCTGGAGTAAAATGAGTTAAACTGTTGTAGATGGGAAATTATTCAATGCTTAGCATTGATCCTTTCAATTTTCAAGTTAAACACATCATGAGTTATCTCCTATAACTCAAACACAAAAGCGGTGAGTCTTATAGCTTAGACCAATAATTACTATTTGAGAGTACCACCTAGCAATGCTTAAAGAGTATTGAATAATTTCGCGTTTGGGATTATGTTTGTTTTTAGATTATTAGCAGATGTGAGTCAACTACGAAACAGTTTTTCCTCTTTCGTAGGGAACACTTCTTTTCTTTTTCTTCAATGAATTAAATATGTTTTCTCCTTAGTTTGCTAGGAAAGCATCTCCAATGGCAACTCAAAATTTTCATTAAATTTAAGTAAAAATTTAACGAAAAATTTGATCTGATATGATGCATTCTAATAGGTCTCATCAATTCGGCCGGTCATTCAGTGAGAGTAAATTTTAATCCTAATTCATCCCAAATATGGACATTCGGTTCAACGATCACCTACAAATTCGATAAATAAAAAAAAAAACGTTCCGTTAATTTGATGAAAAAAATAACTCTCCTTTCATTTGATATAAGTTTGATTCCATGGTTGGAGCATAAAAAGCGAGTGTGTTTCATTTAATTTAAATTTGAGTAAAGGTTGGGAATGACACCAGATGAGAGAGAGAAATTCATTTCCATGTTGAAAGAGAAGGCTGGAGTAAAATGAGTTAAATTGTTGCAGATGGGAAATTATTCAATGCTGAGCATTGCTCCTTTCGATTTACAAGTTAAACACATCAATTGTCTCTTATACTCTAACACAAAAGTGGTGAGTCTTATAGTTTCGACCAATAATTACTATTTGAGAGCACCATCTAGCACTGCTCCAAGAGTATTGAATAATTTTCCGTTGGCGATGAGAGGGTGATTTATGATCAGGAGTTGGGCCGAGGTAACGGCCGAGCAGATTGAGAGCCCAACGGTGCATGGGGCTGAGATGATTGACCATCCGCCAAGAAATGGGCTGCTAGAACCTGGGCCGGGCAGAACTTGGGCCAAGTGTGAGCCGCCCGGCCCAAGAAGGAGCTCGGCTAGATAGCGCTTGGTTGGACCGAGCTGCCTGATCAGGGAATGGCTGAAGCCAGACAAGCTGAGTGACCGGCGCCCGGTAAGACGTGGTCAATCGAGGAGACTGTTTGACCGGCAGGAAGGCCGACCAAAGGAGGTACCCGGGCTAGGCTCTGCCGGGATGCCGCCTAGCCCGGTCCTCCATGTGTTTATCCGATTAGGCGCTTGGGTATGAAGCATGGCATGGCCGTGGTAGAGCAGCTCGGCTGCCGAGCTCCAGCTGTGAAGTCAGGCAGTTGAGATTAGGTGATGAATACTGCATTTTACGCTGACAGATGGGATAGCGGAGCCACGTGTCAGGAGATGAGTCCGAATTCCTTAAGTGGCGGTGGAGTTGGGACAGTTTTTGATGTGAAGTTCCGCCGCGCACCGCTATCAAAGCCCAGACCTTGCGAGATTTTGTCGCGGAGTTCTCTCCTAGCACTCATCGGTATGCCCGGTCGACATACCGAGGCAGATTGATGAGTGCACGCAATGCCAACCGAGGTACAACCAGTTGGAGGAGGTAGCGCCGCGGAGTTAGCGCCGCACCATCGAAGTTCCCTCATTTTGTTGCACGTCATACCCACCCGGCTGCTTCGATGACGGAGTTGTGTATCACCACCCATCCACTCTGTCCGGTCCCGCATCCACCAATGGGGGGAAGAAATTGAAACCGCACCGCTCAGACTGATGATTCGCCTACGGACTTGAGCTATACGGAATCAACTTGCTGAGTCCAGGTGTCGAATCATCAAGGGAGGGAAGGAATGGATCCACACAGCTCAGACCTGCGGCCGGCATTCACACCGCAACCTGATGATTCGCCCACGGACTTGAGCATTAACGGAACAACTTGCTGGTCCGGTGTCGAATGCCCAAGGGGCACGAAATTTGAAGAGTCAACAGCCGGATACCTTATTTGACATTCTTAGACACCGCACAGAACCGCTCGAGCAATCGTTCAGATCCCATTGCTCTCTTCGACAAACTCATCAGACCATCCGCTAGCTAGGAAAGCATTTTTGTGAGGCACAATTGGGAAGCTTTTTGTTGACGGAGTGATCCAACCGCTATGGTGGCCGCCTAGGATCGTTCTGATTCCCGGATGCGCCTAACACATTTGAACATTCTATCGGCTTGGCTTCCCGGCAATCTAACAACGAGCTGCAGTACGAGGCACTTCTCGCCGGCTCAAGAGCGCAATTCAAATGAAGAGCTGCCGGAGCTCCTGCTGTACAGTGATCTCCCAGCTTTGTGGTTAACCAAGTTCTGGGGATTTATGAAGTAAAAGACGAAAGGATGGCGAAGTACCAGGCTCTGGTCAGGGACACATATCAAGCAGTTGAGGCCAATATAGAGTCCAACAGATTGGCCGAGGAAAAAACAGCCCGAGCTGATGATGGCCCGTCTCAGCCTTCTTGGTGGATTAATACTTTTCCAAACCCTCTTTTGATTTGAACTTTCTTCCGCGCCAAGCATTGAACACGCCGGCAGAACGGATTACCTCTAGCGCCGCGTAGTTCCTTCCTGGATGGACCCCTTGATCTTGTTCCTCAAGAGACCGAACTCTTCCTCACTGCAAGAAAGAAGCACACAAAATCCGGGAAGTCAGCGCTGAGTTTTTGGCTCTCTCCATCTGGCGCGTGTATAAGAAGTCCTTCACTGGCCTTATCTCAAGTGCGTGCACCCGAATAGTGTGGAGGCCTTCTGTTTGAAATTCACGAAGGGCATTGTGGCAGCCACATAGGGCAGGTCTTTGGCATACCGAGTTATTTCGAGTAGGGATACTGGTGGCCGTGCATGCAGGCCGATGCACAAAAGTACGTTCGCAATGCGAAAGAATTGTTAGAAAATTCGCCCATAAGATCCATCAGCTGCCAGGGGAACTTCTTCCCCTCACCAAGTCCTTGGCCGCATGTCGCCATGTGGGGGCTAATATAGTGGTGACCACTGCCAACAGCACCAGGCAACCGAATTCTTCATCGCCGGGCCACGGATTTACTTCACGAAGTGGGTTGAAGCTGAGCCTTGGCAACCATAAAGAGAAAGATTGTGAGCGGTTTGTGGCAGAACGATGTCACGCGGTTTGGCGTCCCCACGATCTTGATCTCTGACAACGGCACCCATTTTGTATGATCGCCTATTCAGAAGATTTTATGAAGATTTAAAGATAGAGTTCTAACAACTCCACCCGCTTTTACCACGTTCCAACGGTCAAGCCGAGGTTCAAACAAGACTTATACTGGATGGGTTAAAAGAACGAGCGGAAAAGGCAAGGGAAAAATGGGCTGAGGAATTACCAGCGTCCTTGGGCTACCGAACACCCGCGACGTTCTAATCCCGGGGAAACTCCATGCTTTGGCTTAACGGGCATAGAGGCGGTCATACTTTGAAAGTGGTATGCCCACCTTAGAACGGAAAAGTTGTACCCGAGCTGTAAACGCCGAGGCTATATGCCTTGGAGCTGGACCTAGTGGAGAGAACGTCGGCGAGAAGGCCCTCATCCATGTGGGCCGACCTACCAACGAGAGGCTCCCAAGGAAATATACACAAGACGGTCACCCCAGACCGTTCAAAGTGGATGATTAGGTTTTAAGGAAGATTATGGCAACACCCTGGCTGCCAGGAGAAGGCAAACTAGGGGCAAATTGGGAAGGCGCCTACAGATCTACTGATCTGGCAGGCAAGGCGGGCTTACCACTTGGAGGGATTAGAGGGAAGAGCAATACCCACGGCCATGGAATGCGGCACTTGAAACTGTAATTATTTTTAAGCTTTTGCTTTCTTACTTTGCAAAGAAATTTTTGGCTGCACCACAGCATGTAATCTTTGTATCAATTTATAGAATGGATTTTGCTTAAGCACTTGGACTGTTGTTTTAATTTGTAAAAACCGAGATGACGTACTCCGGTTGGAAGAGTGGTGTATTTTGTCCAACTTAGAATTCCCAACCGAGATTGACGGCTCCGTTGGAATGGTTGGTGTTTTGTCCAACTTCGAATTCCCAACCGAGATGACGTGCTCCGGTTGGAAGAGTTGGTTGTTTGTGCCACTTCGAATTCCCAACCGAGAATGGCGTACTCCCGGTTGGAAGAGTTGGTGTTTTGTCCACTTCGAATTCCCCAACCGAGATGGCGTTACTCCGGTTGAAGAGTTGGTTTTTTGTCTAACTTCGAATCCAACCGAGATGACGTGCTCCGTTTAGACGAGTTGGTGTTTTGTCAACTTCGAATTCCCCAACCGAGATAACGTGCTCCGGTTGGACGAGTTGGTGTGTTTTGTCCAACTTTCGAATCCAACCGAGATGGCGTCTCCGGGTTGAAGAGTTTGGTGTTTTGTTCACCTGGATACCCCAACCGAGATGATCTTAATCGGTTGAAGTGTTGGTGTATTGTCCAACTTTGTATTACTAACCAGGATGTTATTCCATTTTATAAATTTGCTGTTTTATTCTGCTGAAGTACTTCGACCGTGTTATGCATTCCGGTCGACAAGTTGTTTTGTTCAAACGATGAGTTATACGAGATATTTTGCTGAAGATGGATTGATTATACCGTGCAAACACTTAGGCAAAATTGAGTTTCTCATAGAAAGAAAATCATTACAAAAGGTGGGACAGAGCCCAGTACATCCAAAAGTGTGAAAGCAAAAATACAAAAAAAGAAAAAGAAACTAACTAGGGGAGAGGATTGTGAACTCGTTCCTCGCCAGCATCGAGGTTGATGGTTGGACTTGCTCTTGGGACCGGCTCAGCATTGCCAGGGCTGCTCTTGCACTCGGCCTCCCTGCCCTCGGAATCTGTCTCACCGTCTCCATCTTCCAAGTCCTTCATCGGTCCTCAGCTTGCAAGCGCTGAAAACGTCGTTGCATAGGACGAGGATAGGACCGGTAGCGAAGCTGGAGGAGGGTTGACAAACACGTCGGGATCAGATCCCTGGCCGAGGTGTTCGAGGCGGACTTCCAGTCCGGCCTTGAAGTAATGTCTTTGAGTTGCAAAGATTGCTTTTGTAGCTTTGCTCGCCTCGTAAACCCGGCGTGTTGCAGCCGGCAAGCTTTCTTCTCCGACTTCTTCAGGGTGGTCCACCTCGGTCTAGAGCCATTTTGTTTTTTCTCGGCTGCATTCAGCTGACCGAGCAGCCTATTATTATCAGCATTGGCCATGCTCGAGGGAAGCCTTTGCCCGGCCGAGCTTCGGCTTGAAGGCTCGTCGACCTGGCTGGCT